ACTAGTAAGTAAAATACATAGTTAACTGATTTTGTGTTGTGCTCAGACCCAGCTTCCAACGCACCAACTGGTTTGGACCAGTTGGAAGAGAGTGCAAGCTGGTGATGGAGAAGGTTGGAGTAATAGACCTGACACCTTTTGGCAAGTTCATAGTAAAAGGGAAGGACTCACACAAGCTTTTGGATCGCCTCTTTGCCAACACCATGCCCAAGGTAGAAGACCTAATGTAAACTGTTCAGCTCATAAAGTGATGATTGTGTTGGTCACATATCCAGTGCACTGTACTGCTGCACAAACGGCCCTGACCACACAGTTTTCTCAAACTCCATAACCTGTTTTCAGGTGGGCATGACCAACATCAGCCACATGCTGACACCCTCTGGGAAAGTATACGCTGAGGTTACCATCACCCAGCTGGCACCAGGAAGGTTTCTGCTCGTCACAGGTTCCGGTTCGGAGCTGCACGACCTCAGGTGAAATGGATCAAACCCTTTAAACTTTAAACTCTCTGCCAAATTCAGCCGTAGATAATTTAGCAGCAATAATTGTCCTGAATAGTTTCTTTAAATAAAAAATAAAAATGTAATTAAAAAGAATATTTTAAAACATTATCTCTTCATGCAGTTTCAGTGAACCTGGGCTCAATAGATTTTCCAGACTGGGTTCCTTATTACAGTCTTACTCAGAGAAATAAGGAGTTTTGTTGCATAGCACAGAAAAACACAGAGCTCTGTCTTAAGGCTGATACTTCAGATTTTCTCCAAGTTTGTGTTTTCCTTTCAGTTTGCTTTGGGTCAAAATACACCAATACCCATGAATCTCAGTTACTGAAGTGAGTTGCCAAGATGTGATTTAATATTGAAAATAAGTAAACTAATTAGCTCATCAAATAAAAATAACTCTAAAACTCTTTAAATGAAGTACTGCATCATACTAAGAGTAGCAGAACTGAATCAGTGCCGCATGTCTAAAACTCCACGCACATATTGATTTAGACTACATTTCAATATTTCAGTCCCTGCACAGTGCTCATACTGTTAGCAGTTAAGCAAACACTGTTTTGCTCTCTGTCCTGCGCCCAGTTCAAGCTGTGCTGG